GCCTTTTGGTAGGATCTGGCGCACCGCCATGTCACCCTGCGTGGATGAGAGCCGCCGTCCTCATAGAAAATGTGACCGCCTGCAACCAAGTGCAGCCCCCCTCTTGCGGAACGAATGTAAAACCAACCTGGAAAGAACAAACAATTGTAGGCCTTTAGAATGTGCGTACAAAACTATTTCTCATATTTACAAATTAAATTAATCTCTTCTTGTACTAAAAAACTACTAAAATTGAAATAAATAATACCTGATTAGTATATTTGTCTTGCTCGGTACAAAATTAAACGATATTTCTAGCAAAATTGTACAGCAGTTTGTTTTATATCAAGTTGGCTTTGATCCTAGATTTCGAGAAGTTCTAGATGGTTGATATTTCAGTGTTCTGGAGGATTTAAATTTGAAAATATTCCAATATTTTACAGCATTTATGAGCAATATTCAAATAAAATAACTTACGCATAGGCAAACCTCTTTTCAGTCATAAGACGCTAAACTTGATTCGTATAGAATATGTTGCAATCGCCCGAGAGCTTTTTGTAATATTAATTTTAGAATAATCAAAAACTCATGGCTGCATTTCTTTTCTAGATAGGATAAGCGATGTTAATTTAGAATCATTTGTAAGACTGGTTTAACCCAAAACAGATCATTTTGGTATCACCTTGCAAAATATAGATAATTAACGTTAGATTTCAGCCTACAAAACTATTCTGTCTGAAGTAATATTTGGACAAGCACTGATAATTAGTATTTGTTCAATTTAAGATAAAATTCTTGTAATCGAAAATGTCGTAGCTAACAATTTTTATTTTTTGTATTAAGAGCGACAAATGAAAAATCAATATTAATCCAGATCAATATAATCGTTTCTTTGTACCTATACATGGGACATTGTATCCCAACTACGTCACTACACAGCGTATACAGTTCTCCTGCCCTTCGCTTAAAGCTACCTTTATTCGTAATATAGTTTCATGCTAAAATAATATATCTTATCACATACACAAAAATAATACTTCAAGAATAATACTTGAGAGGTTAACTTATTATAAATCGTATACATTTCATATGGTAGATACTGGTATGAACGTACCATGGTAATCCCATTCTACTGGGCAAACATTATCTTCAGATATATTAAAACATTCACGTAAATACAACGGAAGATCCCAATATCAGAACTTCAGTACTTACACAAATCAAAAAAAAATGTATAAAAAATAAACATCTCACTAAAATAAAATATATAAAAAAATCTTACAATCTACAACGTATACATTGAGTATTATAATTAAGTCGATCATTCAATAAATGCACAAAGATACTTTAACAACGTCACATTAATCTACTAATTTCGTATACATTTCATTACTAGAATGGAATCCAACTGCAACTTCACTACGAAATCCAACATCATCAAATCCAACCTAAACTCAACCGAATCCAACTCAGCGAAGTTCTAGCTTCACTTTAACAACCAATTTATATACAACCCACGAATAAAATTGTAAAAAAATATGTAAAAGTAATGTATAAAAATACTTAGGGTATCATAAGACAACTATCACTTTGTACAACAAACTACAACCGTCGCGAGAGGAAGATCAAATAGAGTCTGAGATCCCACAGATTAAAAAAATCCCACGTTACAATAAAACTTTCCAAAATTACTTTCGGTAAAACTACTAAGTAATTTGCCATTAAAAGGAGGCATTGAGTATATAACTTCAAAAATATTTAGCTGCACATTAAATAGATCTGATACCCAAAAATAGAAGACTGAAAACGGTCAATCTAATAAATAAATAATTATAAAAAAAATCGTATACCTTACATATTGCGAGTAACTATATGGTTCAGTAAATAGTAAATCACTAAATATTGTGTCTCTCTTTGGACTATTGTTAGTGTAAATTATGCAAACAACGGTTTGCTAATCCTTAAAGACATCAAAAGCGTAATTTGACCACCGGCAGAAAGGCACAAAAGCAAAATTTAGACATTCCTCAATTATTGATTCCAGTATTTTCTGCCCACAATCCAACTTCCAACGTAACCTACCATACCTTAAAAGCATACGCAATATTATTACTTTCCGTGCCATCATCTTGTACATTACCGGTGGTCATGAATTCAACATATGAAAATATTCATATATCTTGTAAATAGATTTGTGACCTAGAACATCGGTCTAAGTGGGGTGGCTCGAACGCCGCATGTGTGAGCACTGTTCATCTGCACAACTCGTAGCCCGAAGGTATGGACAGCCGCCCTGCAGCGGGGATTCCTGGAGCAACGCCACCAAACCTTGCCCGACGCAGCACGACCATTGAAGCAGAAACGATGTGCGCCCACTTCGATCGCCGGCTTTCCTCGCTTACTCAGGCAATAACGAAATTGACCGGGAAAGCAGGGGAATGGGAACGGCAGTCCCAGGGTCGGTGGTGTCTCTGGAGCTACCACTGTGCCTGCAACTAAAAACTACTGCATTAATATCACATTCCGAATATATTACCAATGCTATACTAAGTGCTCATGCTCTGCATGGTGGGATGAAAATCAATGTCGTATTAACAAAAAACATACAGCTTCTAAATGCTTTGTAAACTTATGTGTAGCTCGATATTTGTATCGTAGTTCGTTTCCGTTATTGTTAAGTAATATTCACTATCAATAACAAAAAGTATTTTATTTCACAATACCAGCATAATTAAAACAATTTTTCTCTCTTGAACGAATCAACAATTGTTAAAAAATCAACCTACAGTGTAAACTCTATATAACGACATTTACCGGATTGAATATTTTCAGCGTTATAACGACCACTATCTCTTAAATGTAGACAATTGTAAGTCACATTTTTAGAAACTCTTGACGTTATTCGTTATTTTAAAAGGTGGTGTTGATATGGTGGCGTTGTTTGAATTTCCCTAGCCATCCTTTTGATGCTTTAAAAGCAGTTAATCCTTGTTCTTTAGCAAGTTTTTCCGCCTCTTCTCTTATGATCGCACCAGTGATAGGTACATTTTGCTGGCGTTGTATATACAACCATTTTAGCATCGCTCGATCCAGAACTTCGTATTGTGGTTTCCTCAATTTCTTGAAAGATTTTCCATCCTTCATTGCTTGTAGTATTTTATCTTTATTTTTCCATATTGTAGCGACGGTCGAGCGACTAAATCCAAAACGTTTCCCTACTTCACTTAACTTTACACCCGCCTCTATTGAGCGTATTAACATAACTTTTTCATCGATACCCAAAGATTTTCTTTTACTCGTCATGTTCACAGTTCGTGAATCTGTAAACAACAGCGATTATGATAACGTGTTATTGATAAAAGTCTAATGACAATTCGTAATAAAAAAATAAAAAATAATAATGTCGTTAAATAGTGACCGCGTCGTTATATAGAGTGTACTACTGCATAGAAAACAATCTAAACAAACCAAAATAAAGCAATTTCTTCAGTGTTATAACGAGTTTACACTGTATACACAACAAAAAATACTTAATGAAGATGGAAAAAAACGATCTATTCTTCAATGTTTTTCTGCTGTCGTGCAGCTTTGGTTTTACCGCGTTTTTGGTATCTTTTTTTGACATAATGAACGTGGTTATGACCGATAGCGACTAGATTACCGCGCTGGGTGACAGCGTAACATTTGCAGCCTGTATCCGATTTGATACAAAGCCATGTATCGCGATCGCCTCGCTGCGGCCCCGAGCGGCGGAACCTCTGGCCGTTCATCACTAGTATAGGATTTCCAAACTTCGAAACACCCCAGAACACTGGAAATGTGTCTAGCTATTTATAACATTATCTAAAAACTTTCAAATTTCATTTTTGGAAACGAAGTTTACGATTGAAACTGGTAGATGTTATCTAAAGTTACATTTTGTTAGTACTAGTAACTACTTCAACATAAATATATATATAATAAATACTTTGGTCAGTAATTTTTATTAAATCGTTTAAATTCATTGAAAGTCGTTTATATAGTTCATTGAAACAGCTAACTAAATCAAACTAAAAAAGAAACAGCTTGAATTATAAAAAAAAAATATTTTATTTCAAACATGATTTTTGACTTTACTGGACACATTCACACTTATAATAATTAAATTATCAACTATGTCTTTATTTACAAAAATATTTATAGAGATTTTTATTATCAATATAAGTTATTTTTACAATATGGAATTTTTGGAATGTAGTTATAAACTAGCAAACAAAAATTAACAAGGAAAACCAACTATCAGTTGTAAATTGCCTATTCTGTTTCTGTTTCGAGTTAATTATTTAATAATTTTAACAACTCAGCATTAGTCATGACTTGAAACACAAAATAACGGAATGTTATTAGGAATAAAATAAAGTTCAACACAATTTTAACCCAAGATCGCTATTTACGAGCTGCTTATTTATCCCAACGTGGCTTAAACGTCGATACAAAACTACAAAGTGGAAATAGGCAACAGCCAAAGCAAACTGTGAGAAACATGCAAACATTTAGATTTCAACTTATATAGTTCCTAATTTGTTCATAAATAGATTATTCTTCCATTCGTTTAATATCCTCTCTGTAGATGAATCAAAATTTTGAGGCGTGAAATTGGCGTTATGATTATGTTCGCCCTTTACCCGTATGAAGTGACCGTCCATCGTAGTTTGGACCCTGCAGAGACAACCAGTGGTATCCTTATCCCGACAAGCCCAGTTCAATTTGTCCCGATACTGGTTGTTCATCCAAAACTTATTGCTTCGGAATATCAGTATTGATTTACCCGCTCTTGACGGTAAGAAGAAGGCTTCTGGAAAATACGTATACATTTTAATTATAGTCACATTACAGATACAAACACTTAGATTATTCAAACAAACTTATGAACCCAATAGCGAGTCTATTTGATTTAAACTCTGTAATTTTTATACTGAATTACACTAACA